TTCACCTCCATCAGAGACCTGAGAAGGGTGAAATGTTACCTAATAACAGGGACATCTTCCTGCCTGGACAGTCACCCAAAGTTTCTCTGTAATGTTGGGGCATCCCACTTTGGCCTACAGGCCTAGCACATCTGACCGACTTTCCTATGAAGTAGGGAATTTTGAAGGACTGTCCTTCCTTGTCTTGGCAAAGTTTGGCAGCCATCTTTCTTGCATCCTGCTGGTCCAGTTTGGACAGTAACTGTCAGCAATTGAGGCAAGGGCAGTTTCTTTGCCCACATGGCTAGCTTTTGCCATAAAGCTTCATATGGAGCTTTCTTCAATACCCATTACGTTTCTTTGAAGTAAATGGGTGCTGTCAGGAGCAGATGTGTCTCAATTGTCATGAAAAGCCTTAGGTTATTAAAACATTTTAAATGCCATATTCTGTAGGTCTTTGAAGTATTTGAAGACCATTTGTCTATCTAAAATATGTTTGTTTGACCTTGAAAACACATCTAACATGACTACCAGTTTGATTGTAATAAGTGACTAACTACTAACCTGTATTTCTTTATTACCCTAAATAGTTTGTCATAATAACTTCCAAGGGACTGGAGAGATGGTTCAGAGGTTAAGAGCACTGGTTGCTCTCAACCATCTATAATGAGACCTGGAGCTCTCTTCTGGTGTGCAAACATACGTGCAGGCAGAACTGTGTATGTAATAATTAAATTCTAAAAAAAAAAAATAACTTTCAAGGACTAGAAATTTACATTATATTGTTAAATAAGCTGTATAGGTGCAATACCTTAAACAAGAGTAGAAACATAGGTACAGTAGGTTCTAACAAAGATAACCTTAAAGTTATATCAATATACAAAAATATCTTAAGCCAGAGTAGAAACATATATCCAGTATAACAAAAATAACCTCAAATTTGTATCACACTATATAAATCCATCAAGGTAAAATATTTAAGACTAGTAGTTGGGGTTTTTTTTGTTTATTTGTTTAAAAGTAGATTCAATAATCTACCCTTTTATCCTATTTCTATGCCCCCCCCCGTTTTTCTTTTTAGAATGAGATCTCTAAATCTAACAACTTGTTCCCAAACCCCCTAAACAATGACACATATTCCTAATTTATTTTGGGGGATGTGGGCATTATTCTCTGGACTACTTCCTGATGTTTTGGGGATCCTGTTATCTTTGGAGGACCCTGAGAAAATTTAGGATTATGGTCAAGTCCTGACTGGAGTATTCTGTGAGGCAGGATCATCTCAGCCGGCAGCCTTGAAGCTGTTCTGGATGCAGAACTCAGAGGAAACTTTAGCAGAGGTGCTCCAGGATGTTGGATCGTCTGGACCATCTGCTCCAATTGGAGATTTTTCAGGGAGGTCTTCCTCGATCAAACCTAATTTTTCTTAAACTGGAATGAATCCATCGCCTCTCATTTCCTGTGGAAACAAAAGCATAACTTCTCCCCCAACATACCTTGGACTTAAATTTTGAAGTTAAGATATTTTGTAAGGGGCTGGAGAGATGGCTCAGAGGTTAAGTACACTGGCTGTTCTTTCAGAGGTCCTGAGTTCAATTCCCAGCAACCACATGGTGGCTCACAACCATCTGTAATGAGATCTGGCTCCCTTTTCTGGCCTGCAGGGATACATGCAAACAGAATAAATAAATAAATAAATCTTTAAAAAAAAAGATATTTTGTAAATATATGTCGGTTTAATCTAGCATTTTCCATAATCCAAGGTCTCTTAGCAACCAAAAATTTTAAAGACATCATAACATACAGAATCTAGACTGTATTTTCCATCTTTGCGTGCCTTATTATATTTTTTTTACTCTATTTCTTTTTAGAGGACTTTATTATTTTATTCTTAAGCCAGTTTGTATATCCTTTTTCTCTTCCAAGCCTATGTATATTTTTAAATACACTGTAATCCATTTAGTTTTTTTTTCCATCTGAATCTGTCCTTTCTGTGTATCTGTAACCTTTTCTGTCTGCATGTGCAAAACCCCAAATCTGTCATGAGTGACCTAGCACTTGCAGCTCAAGTCTAAAGGCAGCTGCTGAGAAACTCCTCTCTGTACTTCAGCCCCTGTGAGACTTCTGATACCCACATGCTCACGGCAGTTGCTGTCAGGCTCCATCTCTCGGGCAGTTGTCCAGAGATGCATCTCGACCCCCCACTTTTTTTTTTTTTTTTTTTTACTTTCTCAGGATTTATGTGGATGTACATGTGCCACATTGGAAAGCCATATGTAGGCAGTGATTTCATGTCTTGGGAGCCTGCTTCCAAATTACCACACAGAGGCTTATTATATAAATTGTAAATGCTTGGACAATAGCTCAGGCTTATTACTAAGAAGCTCTTATATTTAAGTTGACCCATTTCTATTAATCTATGCTTGCCATGACGCTTGTGGCTTTACCTGTCCTCTAGTACATTTTGTTCCCCCAGTGGCTGGCTGGCATCTCCCTCATCCCACCCTTCTTTACCCCAGCATCCTCAGTCTGATCACCCCACCTATACTATTTGCCTGGCTATTAGCCAATCAGTGTTTTATTTTTTTTTTTTTTATTTTTATTTTTTTTGGTTTTTCGAGACAGGGTTTCTCAGTGTAGCTTTGTGCCTTTCCTGGAACTCACTTGGTAGCCCAGGCTGGCCTCGAACTCACAGAGATCCGCCTGCCTCTGCCTCCCGAGTGCTGGGATTAAAGGCGTGCGCCACCACCGCCCGGCCAATCAGTGTTTTATTAACAATGAGCATAATCCACAGCAGGCCTTAGCTCAGGCTTGTCCCACTAGCTCAGATACATCAACCCATTTATTTTAATGCATGTTCTGCCACATGGCTCACTACCTCCTCTCTCCATACTGCCCATGCTGCTTCCTTCACATGTGGCATCAAGACAGGAAAGACAATAGAGTATTTTCTCCAAAATTACCAACACAAATGCAAATGGACTAGATATTGTGAATGTAATTTTTACCTGATAATTGTTTATATATATAGTTTTACTGTGGTACAGTGTAAATGCATTTTTCTTGGCTTATAGCTTAGGCTTGTCCAACTAGCTCTTATAACTTAAATTAACCCATTTCTATTCATATAGGTGTTGGTTGCCACATGACTCATGGCTTTTACCTCTCCTCCATATTGCCCACCCTGCTTGCTCTGTATCTCCTGGCATCTGTCTTCTCCTTCTTAGCATCCTTTCTATCTTGAAAATCCTGCCCTGCTATTGGCTATTCAGCTTATTAAACCAGAGTGACACATCTTCAGTGTACAAATACATTATTCCACAGCATTAGAGTTAAACACTTTTTTATTTAGACAAAAATGGAGAAATGTTGTAGATAATTTGGTTACACTGTGAAGGTGTGTCTTTGCCAAAGTGCCTTCTGATTGGTCTAATAAAGAGCCAAATGACCAACAGCAAGAAGTTGTTAGTCAAGACTTCTGGGGATAGAGAAAACTCTGGGAAGAAGAAAGGCAGACACACCAGGAGACGCAGAGCAAGCAGGGTGTGCAGAAAGAGAGGTAACAGCCACAACCCAGTGGCAGAATGTAGATTAATATAAACGGGTTATTTTAAGTTATAAGAGCTAGTTAGTAAAAAGCCTAAGGTATTGGCCAAGCTTTCATAATTAATAAGTCTCCACCTCATTATTCAGGAGCTGGCAGGACATAGACTTGTTTCAACTAAATCTTCATTGTAGGAACACAAGAAAATTTCCCTTCCTTTCTCTGAAGGTTTGAGGGAATGAACTAAGAAAAAATAAATAGACTAGGCAGGAAAAATGCACATATTTTTTATTAATGTTCCAAAGAAGAAAAAGTCACAACTTGGGGCCAGAAGTATATCACAGGAGTGTCATTGATCACTAGTCCAACATTACTAAGAAAATCACACATCTTTTAGTCCTTTTTTTCTTTAAATAGGGAAGAGAGGTAATAAGGAATGTCAGCAAATAGTGAAATATTATTGGGGGAACTTAACCTCCTTAACAACATATACTACCCTAGGACAAAATGTATTCAGCCAGTACAATAGAAAATGGGTTTATAAGTGATTCTCCATGAGACCAAGACAAAGAACATGATGTGTGTCAAAAGTTGTGTGTGAAGACAGATGTCAATGTTTCTTCCATGTATTTCATCTTTTCTGGTTGGTGAATTTTCAATTAAGACAGAAGGCAATTGTTGTGCCCCTGGATCCAGCCAGTCAGATAAGGAATTTTGTAGTAAGCCTCTCTTTGTGCTTGAAACAGGAAGAAATTAGGTCAAAGAGACTTTAACTATGTGGAAGACTATAAAAACTCTCAGAATGACAAAGCATCACCCATCACTGAGCTACAATTTTGAGATCTGTAACAGTACATTATGTTTTTATTTGTCTGAGTCAGGGTCTCTCTAATTATGCAGCCCTGGCTCTCCTGGATCTCACTATTTAGACCCAGCTGGCTGGTCTCAATGCCTGTCTCTGCCTCCCAAGTGCTGGGATTAAAAGATTTGCCACCAAACCCAGCTAATTTTATGGAATATGACTTATAAGAAACATATTTATAAAATAAATATGATAAAGTCATTGCCAGACAGTGGTGGCACATGCCTTTAATCCCAGCACTTGGGAAGCAGAGGCAGGAGGATCTCTGTGAGTTTGAGGCCAGCCTGGTCTACAGAGTGAGTTCTAGGATAGCCAGGACTGTTATTTCACAGAGAAACTGTCTTGAAAAGACAAAAAAAAAAAAAAAAGATAAAGTTAGAATACAAACTTACATATATACTGTTTTAAAAACATTTTTTATAGCACTTGTGTTTTTTTTAATGATTTATTTATTATTACATATACAGTGTTCTGTCTGCATGTATGCCTGTATGCCAGAAGAGGGCACCAGATCTCATTATAGATGGTTGTGAGCCACCATGTGGTTGCTGGAAATTAAATTCAGGACCTCTGGAAGAACAGCCAGTGCTCTTAACCATTGAGCCATCTGTCCAGTCCCCTTGTGTTTTTGTTCAACTGGTAGACATAGGCAGAGAAGACAGGTGAAAAAATAAATGCTCATTTGCAACTCAAAATTCACATTCAGTATGAGTTTTGATACATACAAGAAGAAATGATACACAAGACAGCTCAAAGGGTTGATGGGGCTAATGAAACTTGTCTTGAACATGAGGTCGAAGTTGAAGTTGTCTATAAATCAATGTTTGTTTCAGTGTAGCATTGGCATTTCCTACCTACAGATTAGTATTCTGAGTAAATTAGGAAAGAATATGAACTGAACTCATAAGAGATGTGTAGTATCAGCAATTGAGAGTCAGACCTACCTTAAAATGATTCCTAAAGTAAACTGAGGTGTCAGAGTTCCTCCAGTGGAGGACTTCCAAGTTTTTATGAGTATATGTCTTTAAATCAAGGAGTGATAAAATAATAAAGGGTTGATAGGACAACTGGATTAAGCATCTTTCTTTGAAAAAGGGCTATTTTCAGATTTCTTTGTTTCAACTCCTAGATAGGATTTCCCTGTGTAACAGCTCTGGCTGTACTGGAACTCACTATGTAGACAAGGCTGGTTTTGAACTCACAGGGATCTGCTTGCCTCTGCTTCCTGGATGCTGGGATTAAAGGTGTGCACCACCACTGCTGTGTAATAATCCTTTTGTACACTGTGAAGATTTGTCACTCAAATTGGTTTAATAAAACACTGATTGGCTGGTAGCCAGGCAGGAAATATAGGCGGGACAACCAAACTAGGAGAAAGACAGGAAGAAGGGTGGAGTCAGAGAAGATGCCAGCCAGTCTGCCAGCCAGCCGCCCAAGAAGCAGGCCATGTAGAAAATGAGGAAACAAGCCATGAGCCATGTGGCAAAGCATACATAAGAAATATGGGTTAATTTATATGTAGAGTTAGGTAGTAACAAAACTGAGCTACCGACCGAGCATTTTTAAGTAATTTTAGTCCTTGAGTCAGTTATTTGGGAAGCAGACGCGGTTATTTGGGAACAGGCAGTCAGGACAGGAAAACTCCGCCTACACACCACCACCCAGCTTATTTCTAGAAATCTTAAACTTGAGTGATCCTGATGGAAGTAGAAGGAATCACATGTGCAATTCCTTAAATAAAAAAATTAAGAAATTTATCATAAAACCTTAATTCTAGCACTTAGCTGAAGGCAGGCAGTGAGCCAGCCTGATCTATATAGTGAATTCAAGGCCAGTCAGGGCTACATATTGTTGTGGAGTATTTGATTACACCATGAACTCTAAGACTGTATTTACTGGAAAAACCTGTTTCTAGTTGTGGTGTGGCTCAGCTCTAGCACACACATTAAATTCAAGAACTTTCTGCTTGAATAATGTAAACAGGATTAAATAAAGTCAACCACAAGGTGGAACAAGCAAGTAGTTGTGAACATAGTATTATTAAGTGAACATAGGATTATTAAGAAAAACCCTAGAGAATAAGAAGAAATCAAGAGGATGGATAGAGAGATGCACAGGAAGTAGAAGGGAGGGACATTAAGTTGGGGGACTCTTGTTTGAGGTGGTGTAGGAGAAGGGGATGCTTTTGGGATGCTGGCTGACGAGGAAGGTCAGCTGGTGCTTTCTCTGCTTTTTATGAGATAGCAGGCTTTCACTCCAGCATCTGGTGCCTGAGTCTTTATTGGTAAAATTGAAGAATTGAGATTTTGTTAAAAACAACATCGGCACTCTAACATGTGGCATGACCACAAAGCATACCCACACATTCCAGTCTTCTGGAATATGCATAAGATGTGGTAAAGGGCCATGCATAAGATGTGGTAAAGGGCCGGGCGGTGGTGGTGCATGCCTTTAATCCCAGCACTCAGGAGGCAGAGCCAGGGGGATCTCTGTGAGTTCGAGACCAGCCTGGTCTACAGAGTGAGATCCAGGAAAGACGCAAAGCTACACAGAGAAACCCTGTCTCGGAAAAAACAAAACAAAACAAAACAAAACAAAAACAAACAAACAAACCCCCCCCCCCAAAAAAAAAAGATGTGGTAAAGGTTGGCATTGGACTAATGAATGCAGATCAATAAGGGACAAGCAAGATAGGTAACCCTTTGCCATCAGGAAACACCTTAGAGGACCTACTGCAGGCCCCAATACAAATTTTGGTTCAATCATTCTGTTAACATTGGAAAAACTCATACACAGAACAATTAAAAGACTTGATACCTGTTATTAAAAACAACTCTGCTCTGAATGTGATGAAGGATAGAACAGCTTCAGTAGATAAAACAAAAAGGTTGGGAGAGATCAGAAAAGAAGTATTTTGGCAAACTGCTACAAATGGTTAGACACCAAAGCTAAAAATACAAATAAATGGCATTCAAATTTAAAGTTTAGTAGACACAGGAGCAGATATAACAATTTTACCATAGGAAGCTTTTTTGTAGACTTCCAGCTCACAAATAACAACATGGAAACTCCCCCCTCCCCTTTGGTTTTTTTTTTTTTTTTTTAAAGATTTTATTTATTATGTGTACAGTGTTCTGCCTGCAGGCCAGAAGAGGGCGCCAGATCTCCTTACAGATGGTTGGGAGCCACCATGTGGTTGCTGGGAATTGAACTCAGGACCTCTGGAAGAGCAGCCAGTGCTCTTAACCTCTGAGCCATCTCTCCAGCCCCCCCACTTTGGTTTTTTGAGACAGGGTTTCTCTATATAGCTTTGCAGCCTGTCCTGGAGCTCACTCTGCAGACTAGGCTGGCTTTGAACTCACAGAGATCTACCTGACTCTGCCTCCCAAATGCTGGGATCAAAGGCATGCACCACCACTGCCTGCTGAGACTTATTATTAATTATGAAATCTTGACCTTTAGCTTAGGCTTGTCTCAACTAGCTCTTATAACAAAATTAACCCATTTATATTAATCTATGTTCTATCATTACCTCTCTTCCATCTTGTACCTCCTGTTTCCTCTCTGTGTCTCCTAGCATCTCCTTAGCATAATCAGTGCACCTAGATTCCTCCTCCTCTTCCTCTGTCTCTCCTGGAAACTCTGCCTATCTCTCCTGCCTAGCTATTGGCCAATCAGCTCTTTATTAAACCAATCACAGTGCTACACATTCACACAGTGTAAACAAATATTCTGCAACATTTCACCAAAATCTTGGCATTCAGATTGCCCTCTTCAGGATGTAAATATTCAGCTTCTAGAGATTGGAACTTTATCTCAGGTAAAACAAAGTAGAAGGTGGGTCATATGTATAAGGCCAGAAAGATAGGTAGGGAAATTAAAGCCATATGTTTCTAACTACTGTGGAACAATCTTTATACACTGTAAATATGTATTACTCTCATTGGTTAATAAAGAGGTGACTGGCCTATAGTTGGGTAGGAAGAGAATGGGCTGGGGAGTCAGATTAGGAGGATACTGGGAAGAAGGGTGGAGCCTGGAGGAGTAGCCAGACAGCCACAGGGGAAGCAGGATATATACAAAATGAGGTAAGTAGCTATAAGCCTTGTGGTAGAACATAGATTTTTAAAAAATGGGTTAATTTAAGTTGTAAGAGATAGTTAGTAATAATCCTGAGCTACAGACCAAGCATTTATAATAAATACTGAGTCTTCATGTTGGTTATTTGGGAACTGGTGGGCGGGAAAGAAAAGTCCACCTATAACTAACATAGCAATGAATTTGTTGGGACGTGGTTTGTTACTGCAATGGAAAACACAGATTAACATTACTCCAATCTCAGAAACAAACCATAAAATAAAGAATGCTTCTGACAAAGTTATTAAAAGGTATTATCAAGAACAGTCACAGACCCTTCAGGTTGTACATAAGCAGTGCACAACAGCTGTTGGGTCTTTCAAAGGTACCAACAGCCATACCTTTAAAATGGTCAACTGCAAACTTGTGTGGGTGGAACAATGGCCTTTGACATCAGAAAAATTACAGGTACTAAATACTCAATAAATGAAGAATTGACCAGTCCTTGGAATTCTCCTATATTTGTTATTAAAAATAAATCTGGAAAATGTAGAATGGTAACAGATCTGTGAGGTATAAATAAGGTGATTCAGCCAATGGGCTCTTTACAGCCTGAAATTCCCTTGCCTTCTTTATTACCTAAATAATTATATTTTATATTATAGTGTTGCAGAATATAGTGTGTCGTTTATACTGTAAAGATGTGTCTCTGCTTAAGGCACCTTCTGATTGGTTTAATAGAGCGCTAAGTAGCCAATAGCTAGGCAGGAGAGAATAGGGGTGACTACTGGGCAGAGAGAGAAAAACTGGGAGGAATCTAGATGAGTGATTTTGCCAAGAGATTCAGAGCAAGTCAGATGTGCCATACCAAGAAGAGGTAACCAAGCCATGTGGCAGAAGGTAGATAAAAAATGATGGGTTATGTTATAACAGATAGTTTGGAAAAGTCTAAGCTAAGGCCAAGCTTTCATAATTAATAATAATTCTCCAGGTCATTGTTTGCAGGCTGGAGGTCCAAAGATGGTCAGACAAGAAAGCTTGCTACAACAGTGATTGAGTTAAAAGACTACTTTTTAACTATACCTTTACAAGAATAAGATAGAGAGCTGGGTGGTGGTGGCACACACCTTTAATCCCAGCACTTGGGAGGCAGAGGCAGGCAGATCTCAGTGAGTTCGAGGCCAGCCTGGTCTACAAAGTGAGTTCCAGCACAGCCAGGACTGTTACACAGAGAAACCCTGTCTCAAAAAACAAAAAACAAACGAACAAACAAAACCCAAAAACCGAAAAACAAAAAACAAAACAAAATAAGATAGGGAAAATTTTTTCTTCACAGTGCCTACTTTTAACAATTCCCAGCCTGTTAAAAGACACCACTGGAAAGTTCTTCCACATGGACTGTTAAATAGCTCCATCTTGTGTAAATATTTTGTACAACAGATGCTAGAAGTAATTTGTAAATAGTTTCCTCAATCTAACAGCTATCAGTATATGGATAATACCTTACTGGCTGATTCAGATGCAGATACTTTTGAAAAAAATGTTTGATGAAGAGAAAAACAACATGATGCCATCTAGGAAATACAGTAGAGAAATACAAAACAATGCAAAACAGAAAAACAACACAACACAATCTCAGGGTTCACAGTGTGACCCAATATCCTGCAACATCTGGCTGGTCTGTTACTTGTTACATAGGTCCAGTTTTGCCTCAAATAGTATCCTTCACCTTTCTGAGTGCTAGGATTACAAGCCTGAGTTACCATGCCTGGCCCAAAAATGTCTCTGTACATTATATCTTTGCATTTCAATCTGGTTCTATGTCTACTCTATGCAACAGCTTTCTCCAAATATATCCAGTGTCCTTTCTTCTTCCACAATCCACAGGACACATTTTATTTTTTTTATAGATTTATTTATTATGTATACAGCATTCTGTCTGCATGTATGCCTGCAGGCCAGAAAAGGATGCCAGATCTCATTACAGATAGTTGTAAGCCACCATGTGGTTGCTGGGAATTGAACTCAGGACCTCTGGAAGAGCAGCCAGTGCTCTTAACCATTGAGCCATCTCTCCAGCCCCTACAGGACACATTTTAATTCACATCTTACCTGATCTGTTGCATTTAATACTTTAAACGAGTTTCCTTGATACTTTTCTCCTGTCTTCCTTCCTTTATTCCTGTTTGTCCTTCTTACTGTCCTGGTTTCAGCTTCTTCCCTCTTCTCATGCCTCAAATGCATGTATCTTCCTCTCTAGGCCATTATCCTCTTTAATTAATGGCTCCAAGAACTCTCCATATTCACAGAAGCACACTTTAAACTTCCTTGGTTTCCAACCCATATTATTTAATATTTATGTGTCTAAAAGACATCCCACAGATCTCCCTTAGAATTAAAAATAATGTAACTCAGGTCTTCAAATCAGTACATTCATCTCCTTATCCAAGATATGTCTTCCTACTTACACATCACCACTGTCTCTTCCTTATCTTCATAACTCTTCTCTCCTACTTTTCCAAATCACCCTTTACACGGCAACCAGTGATCTCTCTCTCTCTCTACCCAGCCCCACTTCCTGGGGACTGATCACCAGGTTTAACTGTGCTAAGAACACATTCTACACTGAGGTAATGTCCTAGTGGTCTTCCTCGCTTAAATTAAGCCCAAACTGCTCTCCATCTCCAGAGCTCAAACAATCCTCCTGCCTCAAGCTCCAGGCCAGAGCTAACATGCCCAAGCTGGCAAGCAGTGATCTTTTTTACAATACAAATGTAATTGCTCACACCTCTGCTTAGACCCTTCAAAGCCTCTTCACTGCCCTTAGGATAAAATAAATTTACATGATCTTGCATCATCAGGGCCCTCCCTTTGTCATGGACCTTAGGTATTACCTTTTCCTTTAGTCACATTAGGCTGTTGGCAGCTCCAGAACATACGTGAGCCCCCCTCTCCACTTCATCCCCCCCCCCCGCCCCCATTTCAATTCCCAACAGTCCTCCACGAGTCAGCTTAGGAGACATTTTCGACGGGAAAGGAGATCTCAAAAGGAAAATACTGAAGGGATGAATTCCGAGAAAGACTCTGAGAAGCGCTGCAAGGTCCGGGTTTCAGAACGTCCCGGTGACAGGAAGTTCAAAGCAAAGGTTAAATCCAGATCTTGAACTTTCACCCAAGTTCACCAGGCAGTCCAACTCCTGCACTATTCCGCCCTTACGTGTCATGGCTGCCAGTCCCACTCTCCCAGTGGGCCTTGAAGTCTGATACCAGACAGCTCTGGCGCCACCAAGTCTTCCACAGACAAGTACGTTACTCTCTCCACTTCTTAGAACCGCCCCGAAACCGCCGTTAAGAAAACCCGGCGTTGCCAGCTTGCCCCAAAGCAAGATGGCTGCCAGTCTCCATTCTCTCTTCCCAACGTGAAGCCAGCCATTCCCTGCTTAATGCCGCTGCCAGGCTGCCCTCACCTAGTATGGCTACTCCGCTCATGCCTCGTTATGGTCTCGAAGCCGACACTAACCGGCCAGGTTCCGGGAGGCGCTGTTCAGGATGCAGCCACCCCCGCCCGTCCCTCCCCTCCCCCACGCCCGCGGCGGCGGCGGCGGCGGCGGCGGCGGCGGCGGCGGAGGCGGCGGCGGCTGGAGCCCGGATGCGGCGCCGGGAGACAGGCCCGGGAGAGCAGCGCGGATGGATCCAACATGGCGGCGCCGAACCTGAGCCGAGAGTGAGGCGGCGGGGCGGCCGGAGTGGGGAGGGGGAGTCGAGTGGGACGGGGCGGGGCCGGGCGGGGCCGCGAAGGGCTTGGGGAAGGAAAGTGGAGGGGGAGGTGGCGGCGACGTCCAGCCTGAGAACCTCCAGAGAGGGAGGTGACGGGACGCTCCGAGGTGGGGGAGGGGATCAGCCGAGGGGGGCGTGCAGGGGAGATGGCAACTGTGGGAGAGGGCAGGGGTCGGGGCGCCGGAGTGCGGGCATGGGGAGGGGCGTAAACAAGGGCCCAGGCTGGGCCAGGCCAAGGGGTATTAAAGCGGCCGAGGTGGGGAGCGGGGCTGCGAGCCAGCGCGTTGAGAGGGGTAGGAGCAGGAGGGAGAGGCGGAGGGTGCCAAGGGGCAGGGGGGCTCGGGGCATGCGGTCGCGGCAAGGACTGGACTCCCGTGAGCGCTGTTGTGAGGACGTGGGGGGACGGGGGGAGAATTGGACTTGAGACGTTTGGGTGAAGGGAGGTTTCCAAAGTGTTAAAATTGGAAGTGGAAGCGGAAGGGCCTTGAGGGAGAATTGGGGTGGAAAAGGAGAGAGACCGAGAGGAGGGTTTGGGGAATGGGGAGAGTGTAGATGAGACGAGGTAAGGTGGAAAGTGAGAGACCCGGAGGAAAGTTTGCAAGGAAAGGGAGCTAGGGCAGTGCAACTGCACGGATGATAGAGGTTGGGGGGTTTCCCTTTCCCCCGTGGAAAGACAGCAGAGTTAAGCAGTATCAGTTGCAGCCAATTTTAATTGCCAGGCGCTTGGCTTTTAATAGGGTGGGAAGGGCAGAAAGGAATGGTCATGTGGGTTTGGAGAATTGGGGTTGAATGAGGGTTCAACCGGATTTGCTTTCCAAAACACCCTCTTGCTTACTGCTTCCTTGTTTTTCCTGGTTACAAATAGGGAGACGTAAAGCACTTTTCTAGGGTTTTTTTGTTTTGTTTTTTGTTGTTGTTGTTGTTTGCAATTAGCCATACAAGAATGGGGAGAGAGACGTTACTGGAGCCTTACATATACCAAGGTGGAGGCTCTGGAAGCCTGAGGAGGATATAGAAGAGACAGGCTGGCATTTAGGTAATCAGGCTAATTAAATATGCTTTCCTTTACAGACCCTTCTTTACTCTTCAAGTACTAGGAGGGAAGGAGGGGTCAATATGCTTATTTAGAAGCACGTTTCTTACTAAAGCTAGGTGTGAGTGGATGCTGCTTTAGTGGTTATCTTCTTCTCATTGTGTTCTAAAGGAAAAGGTGAAGTTCGAGATTGATTCTGGTCTGATGAGTGAAGTGATGGGAAGGAAGTGCTTTCTTGAGCTGTAACTTTTTTTCCTTCCAGAAAATAGATGGAATGAGGAATTGAGGAGAAGAGTAAGACGCGACCAGGTTTTTTCCCAGAGGTTGTTGAGTTGGGGCTTTTCTTGCAATGAGCCATTGAGATTGGGAGTTCTTGGCTTGATACTATATTGTGAGTTGACAGTGAGAGGGACCTGGGGGACTTTGTTATGTTTGAGTTCTCTTCTTTAGCTTGGAGTAGTTTGTTCAGTGGAATGACTTTTTTTGTTTTTTGCCACTGACGTTGACTAAGTGTGGACCTTTGAAGTTTCAAAATAAAGCTTGAAATTTTACTCTTTCCCCTTATTTGTTTTTGTTTTTCTGCTGGCTTTGAAACTTGTGCTAGGAAGAGACCTGGGAAATTAAATTTCTTGCAAAGGTAAGTCTGGAAGTTTTTTATTATTTTCCAACAGTGGAAGGGAATGGAAATGATTTGAAAAGCGTTGGGGTTGAGCCTAATGAATGAGGTAGGAGCTAGGGAAAATATGTTTCCCTCCCTCCTGAGTTCACTAAGGTTTGCTGCAGACACTCCTCAGGTGACTGGAGGGGAAAAGGACACTAAGTGTCTCGGGGCAAGGTCTTACCTTTGGTTTGCTACTGCCTAGCCTTCGGGTCATCTCTGAGTGACACCTGAGTGACACGGTTAACATGGAAAGCTGTGCTCTTGTTCGTGATCTATGAACTATTTCTCTTGGAGGGCGGCTGAGGGACTTCAGTGGGAAGGCTTTTCTTCTAGTTTACTGTCTCTCGCAGCTGTTCAGAGTTCTTGGGATTTTTTTTTTTCCTTCGAGACAGGGTTTCTCTGTGTAGCTTTGCGCCTGTCCTGGATCTCGCTCTGTAGACCAGGCTGGCCTCAAACTCACAGAGATCCGCCTGCCTCTGCCTCCCGAGTGCTGGGATTAAAGGCATGTGCCACCACCGCCTGGAGGGATTTTTTTTTTTTTTAAACATACTGTGTAATTCTGCCTTCCAGATATATTTGGTTATGTTTTCCTAGTCCCCACCATCAGGAAAGTGCTTCACATACACTTAACTGTCCTGAAGATTTTCCATGTAGTTGACACTTCAAGGTTCAAGCCATTCTCCCCACCCCACCCCCACCCTCAGACAGGGTTTCTCTGTGTGACAGCTCCAGCTGTCCTGTAGACCAGGCTGGCCTCAAACTCACAGAGATCCCCCTGCCTCTGCCTTCTGAGTGCTGGGATTAAAGGCATGCGCTACCACCGCCTGGCAAGCCATTTTTTTTTAGACAGGTTCTCACTATGTAGTCCTGTCTGACCCATAATTTGCTATGTAAGCCAGGCTGGCCTCAGTATCACAGAGATCCACCTGCCTCTGCCTCCCAAGTGTAGGGCTCAAATGGGTGTACCACCACACCTGGCTGTTGTCACTCATTTTTTTTTTCCTTCCACATGACTTTCTTCTAAGGGCTTCTGAGAGAGTCAAATATTACTTTTTTTTTCTGTGAAAATATAGATGTTATTCCTGTTAGGAAGAAGCTACCATTTTCATTTCAAGATATTTCTTCTACATATTCTTTGCTTCTGATAAGTCAAAGTACTTTAAAAAGTCTGAGTTGCCAGGCGGTGGTGGCACTCGCCTTTAATCCCAGCACCTGTGAGGCAGAGGCAGGTGGATCTCTGTGAGTTCGAGGCCAGCCAGGTCTACAGAGTGAGTTCCAGGACAGCCAGGGCTACACACAGAAACCCTGTCTCAGTTAAAAAAAAAAAAAAAAAAAGTTGTCATTTCTGGATGAGAGAGTCTATCAGGAAGAAACTGTCTAGGCATATATAGACTCTTAATTGGCTCTTGGTTATTTCAGACCTCCCTAAAGGAAGACAAACTAGAACTCCAGGAAATTCAGCAGTTCATCAGAATCTAGAACTATTCTGTGCTAGGGATGTAGCTCAGTGGTAGAGCATTTACCTACTTATGCCCAAGGCCCCTAGGTTTGATCCCTAGTACTCTTGTTTATAGTTGTATTTTTGGTTTGATTTTATATAGTCTCACTCTGTAGACCAGGTAGCCTTGAACTCAGAGATTTACCTGCCTCTGCCTCCCAGGTGCTGGGATTAAAGGAGTGTCACCGTGCTTGGCTGACTGATGCTTTTTGTCTCTTGGTAGTTAGCTGTATCTTAGATACCAACACAAGAGTTCTTTCTAATCTTCTGTTTGGAGGAGTGTGTTCTGGTCACTGTGGTATCTTCCATCTAGGAGCTCTGTGTCTAGGCTGAGCTCCCTTGCCACTGAAAGCTGAGTCTAATTTGGGTTAAGAGAAAGTTGACATTTTTTTCATCCTGAAGTTAGATTCTTAGACACCCTGGCTGGGTTGCTGAGTTAACTCACAATTCTAGATGATAATTAAGTGGGGAGAGCTGCCTACCAGCCTGCATACCAGCCTCTTGATATTACTCTGGAAGACATGCCTTGGGAAATGCTTGCTTCTGTGTTTTGCTTCCTTGAATAGTGTAAGTCTGATTGGTGACCTAACAAGGAAGGGTCTGCTATTTAGTCTTGTTTCAGGACTTTATAAATGGCACTGAGGCTAAAGATGAGGATCATTTGTGCTAGTCTTGAAGAGGATGGCATTTTCTTATTCCCCATACAGTTTCATATTGAACTAGGTCAAGTAGACCTCCTGGGATGGACCAGAAGGGAGTATGTCTCTACCACCTGCTATTTACCTGAATGGCAACAGCAGGTGATGGAGCAGGCATTGCTGGGGTGAGATGAAATTCCTTTTTGCTAGTTCGATTTATGAGTTAAATGAGCTATGTCTTCACTGGCCTTCCTTTACTTCTAGACTATGATTGGATTGTTTTGGTATGAAGAGACCCGATAGCTTCCTCCTCTAGATCTAGTAAGGAAAGTGACATGCATCCTTTTGACCCTTCATCATGTCTCACTTAAAATGGGATTCTCAACCTTAGTCCTATAGACATTTGGTCTAGAAAAATTTTTGTTGTTAGTGATTGTTCCATGCTTTATAGGTTGTGTAACAGCATCCTGACCTCATTGTATGCTTGACAATCAAAACTGTCTCCAGTCATTGCCAAATATCTCCTGGTGGGGCAAATTGCTCCTGGTTGAGAACCACTGACCTAGACGCCCTGATGGTTTCTAGATCACTTTCTATTATCTAGGACTTAAAGGTGATTCGGTTCCCCTCCCTCTCAAGTGAAGGGAGTTACTCTCAGAGGATTGAGACCTACTGTAGAATTACATTGATTATATAATTAGAACTATAGTGTTTTATTTTGCCTCATTTTCCAGGGACAGAGTATGTGGGGGTAGTTTTTCTTATTTGTTTGGGGTTTTAGAACACTTTGAATTAGGGACCCAAGAAACAACCTTCTCTTCTGATTGGTTGGACATGAAGCCTGCCCATCTGTTTTCTCTGGGATCCTTATAATCAGCAGCTGGTCAAGAGAACAGGTGGGATAGGGACCATGGAAAAGTTTCAGGGACTCTTAAGGAAGCTCAGTTTTCTCCTGCTACCTACTTGAATAAGAAGCTATTTTTTCCTCAGCAACTCTATTTGTACCTAGTGATAGCAGGTGAAACAAGAGAAGAAGAAACAAGGAAAGCTAGTCTGTAGTTGAATAATGGTTTTTTTCTCAGCTGTTTCCCGTACTTTGGGTGGGATATCTAGGCTCTCAAAACTACATGTGGATTATATTTCCTCTTTACTTGGATTTCTCCTTTTTCTTTTAAAAAATTATTTATTTTTTGTTTGTTTGTTTTGTTTTTTGAGATTCTCTTTGTAGCCCTGGCTGTCCTGGAGCTTGCTTTGTTGACCAGGTTATCCTGCCTGCCTCTGGAGTGCTGGGATTAAAGGCATACATACACCTACCAACTTTTTTATAAAGGGAAGGAGTCTACGCTTTCTTTGTTGGCTCACTGAGGGAGAGAGGACCAGGTTCTATTGCTTTTCAGCTAAGTCGTCATTATGGTTCTTCTGAAGTAGCTTGCCATTCTGTTTTTGGTGCTGGACATGGGATCGGAGGCCTCGTGAGGGCTGAGCATCGCTACCACTGACTTACACCCAGTGTCTCGGTTTCTGTCTTGTACTTTAGCCAGTGTCTTCGTGTGTAAAGTGCTCAGAGCACCATCTTGTTGAATAGGGTGGTTTGGTGTGGGTAGTTTTTTATGGTATCGAGACAGCTCTGACTAGCTAGAATATGTGCTTGGTTACTGAATGTGCTCCTGTGCCCACTCCCCACCCGACCCATTCTAGACAGGTTTCACTATAGAACTCAGACTGGCCTTGAATTTGTTACCTGTCTCAGCCTCCCTAATTCTGCGATTATAGGCATGCACATGCGCCACCATGCTTGACTTACATGTGTCTTTTTGGTAGGGTCCTCTCCCACTCTTGGACTCTGATAAGTTTGTTTTTTAACTGGTATTGCGTATATTGTTGACCTCTTAGAAATTAAGTTCAATTCTCAACAACAGGCTGTTTCTACAGATGTCCACTACTAGTTATTAGGAATATAAAGATGAGCTGGATGGTGGTGGAGCATACCTTTAATCTCAGTACTGAGAAGGTAGAGGCAGGTAGATTTTCACCTTGGAGGTCAGTCTGGTCTACATAAAGAGTTCCAGGACAGCCAGAGACCCTGTCTCAAAAAACCACCACTTCCCCCAAATATTGATGGTGGTAGTACATGCCTGTAATCCTAGCATTCAGAAGGCTCAGCTAGGATGATTGAAAGTTCATTGCCTGCCTAGGTTACATAGCAAGTTCAAGGCCAGTTTGGTCTACACCTTGAGACGTTGTGTCAAAAAAAAGAAAAAGATTTGGAGAACAGAGAGTTCTTGAAAGAGTCAGTTGCTGGGGCTGGTGAAATAACTCAGGAGGTTAAGGCATGTGTTACCGAGCCCGACAACCTGATTTCCATCTCTGACCTCCACACGTGCACTGTGGCCATATGCACACACACATATGCACACACACACAAATAAATTGAATACAAATTAAAAAACATAGAGCCAGTTGCAGTTGTACAGTTGAGACAGTGAATGGAATCTGAACCGTGGCAGTGGCAGTAGAAGAGGACATTTAAGAAATAGTTTGTGGGGGCTGGCGAGATGGCTCAGTGGCTAAGAGCACTGGTTGCTCTTCCAGAGGTCCTGAGTTCAATTCCCAGCAACCACATGGTGGCTCATAACCATCTGTAATGAGATCTGGCACGCAGGCAGAACACTGTATACATAATAAATAAATAAATCTTTTTTAAAAAATAGTTTGTGTTGTACAGTAGGAATTAAAAACTGACTGCATGGTTGGAGGTCGTGGTCAGGGTAGAACAGTACTCAGTAGTACTATCTTGCAAGCTAGTAAGAATGAAGAACTATAAAGTGGAGGTGAAAACTGTTAAGACTAGATGATTGGTCGATATTACCCTGGGTAAGTGTATGAATCAAAACCAGGGCTGTGACTGGTTCTTGGCAGGGGTTTGTTACATGCCACCTGTGAGGAAGGGTTAGTTAGTTTAGTTTGTTTGTTTTTGGAGTTTTGTTTTTGTTTTTGTTTTCCGAGACAGGGTTTCTCTGTGTAGCTTTGCGCCTTTCCTGGAACTCAACTTGGTAGCCCAGGCTGGCCTCGAACTCACAGAGATCCACCTGGCTCTGCCTCCCGAGTGCTGGGATTAAAGGCGTGCGCCACCACCGCCCGGCCTGTTTGTTTGTTTTTATATTGTTCTGCTTTTGAGATCCAATGGCTCAAAGTGGACTCAAACTCCCAATCCTCCCATAGCATGAGGCTTCTCAGTGTTCGGGATTATGGCATGTGCCACGATACTCACTTCTACCCCTGAGATTTTGAAGTTAAGGGACATGCTTATAATCACACAGCTACATTTGTAATGACACAGTCAGAATTTAAACTAGTTCCAGCTAGTGACTTATAACTGTTCATCTGATTCAGTTTCTATATCAAAGATTGTATTCTCAACTTTTCGGTTTTACCTATGTTTAAGAAATAGGACAGGATAGTGGTGGTGTGTGAAGGCAGATCTCTGTGAGCTCGAGGCTAGCCTGGTCTACAGTGAGTTCCAGGATAGCCAGGGCAACACGGAGAAACCCAGTCTTGAAAAAAAATAAAAAATAATAACTAACTAACTAAATAACTAAATGAGGCCAGGCATGGTGATGCCTGCCTTTAATTCTAGTACTCAGGAGGCAGAAGCATACAGATCTCTGAGTTTGAGGCCAGCCTAGTTTACACGGTTCTAGGACAGCCAGATTTACATAGTGGCTTAGAACTCTAGACCATTATGTTGGTCTCAAACTCACAGAGATCCTTCTGAGTTCTGGGATCAAAGGGGTACACTGCCACACCCAGATGTTACTCTCTTACTGTATTTTTTTGTTGTTTCTATAAGACAGGGTTTCAGTAAATAGACCAGGTTGACCTGGAACCAGATCCTAGCACCTCAGCCTCCTCACTGTTGGTTACAGGCATGTGACTCCATGACCAGCAAATCAGTGTTTGAAGGGACCAAAATCAGTGTTTTGAGGGCAAGAGGAAAAATCTGGATAACATGAAATAAAAAAAACAAAATTTGAGGTAGTATCTTGTAGTCCAGGCTGGCCTTGATTTCGCTCTATAGCTGAGGATGGCCTTGAACTTCTGATTCAAGTGCTAGGATTATAGGCATGCTTTATCATACTGGCTTGTTTTGTTTGAGATATGGTCTATCTATGTATCCCTGGCTGGACTGCAACTTGCTGTGCGGACCAGAATGGCTTTAAACTTAGGGCAATCCTCCTGCCTTTGGCTCCTGAGTGCTGTTAAGTACAGATGTGTACTCTCATGTGTAGCTGCAATAGGAACTTCTGAACTATGCCATACTAAAATTGCACAAAACATTCTCACTCAAGGAAGTGACTGTTCCTTCGGTAGGATCTGGACTTAGGGTGTCATCTGTTGAGTATGAAGAGCTTTAGTATTGTTTTTGTTCGTTTTGCTTTTGCCTTTTTTTTTGAGACTGAGTCTCTCTGTAGCCTTGACTGTCTTGGAACTCTGTGATCTACTTGTCTCTGCCTCCTGGGTGCTAAGATGAAAGGCATGCACCACCACACCCAGCATGGGTTTATTTTATTTTATTTTTTTTTTAGTAAACATTTTGTGATATTTAATAAATATATTAAGCAGCGTACTGTTAGTAGCATGTTGAGATAGTACAGATAAATAAAATTAGTTGCTACCAGTGTGTGGCTCATAGGTTCTTGTCCTGTCTTACAGGACACTGGAGAGTGCAGCTGCTGAGCAGAGATTCTGGAAAGCACTCTGTCCCTGAGCCTCTAGCATGGCGGGCCTGAAGCGGCGGGCAAGCCAGGTGTGGCCCGAAGAGCATGGTGAGCAGGAACATGGGCTCTACAGCCTCCACCGTATGTTTGACATCGTGGGCACCCACCTAACGCACAGAGATGTTCGTGTGCTTTCTTTCCTCTTCGTTGATGTTATTGATGACCATGAGCGGGGACTCATCCGAAATGGACGTGACTTCTTACTGGCACTGGAGCGCCAAGGCCGCTGTGATGAGACTAACTTTCGCCAGGTGCTGCAGCTGCTGCGCATCATCACTCGCCATGACTTGCTGCCCTACGTTACTCTCAAGAAGAGACGGGCTGGTGAGGGCTTACGGGGTCTGGGAGCATTTGAATATGAGAAGACTTGTGGGAGGCCAGGAGTGCTTAGCACAGGAGTCTAAAAGGGGGGTGGTCTTGCCCTAGGCAGTACTAGAGAATAAACTGTGAGACTCTTGGGGAGAAGGCAGGTGTGTATTTTTTCTTGAGTGCCTCCTTCTCCTCCTGCAGTGTGCCCTGATCTTGTAGACAAGTATCTGGAGGAAACATCAATTCGCTATGTGACCCCCAGAGCCCTCAGTGATCCAGAACCGAGGCCTCCCCAGCCCTCTAAAACAGGTGAGAAGATATTACTTGTGATTTTCGTAAGAGAATATCGATCCCATCACATGCCTGGCTGGGCCAACATCAATGAAAGGATGCAGTCCCTCTTCATCTACCTCATGAAAACTATCAGAGGCTGGGGAGATGGCTCAGTCTTTCACAGGCTTATTGCATAAGCGTGGAGACCTGAGTTCCAGAGTCCCAGCACCTACATAGGAAAAGCTGGGCAATCAAAAAACAGTGTCTGTAATCTTAGTCGTTGGAGAGGCAGAGAAGGTGGATCTCTGGAGCTCACTAGCTAACCAACCTTAGCACATTGGTGAATGTAAGGTTCAGTGAAAGGCCCTGTCTAAAAAGTACTGGGGAGAGAATTGAGGAAGATGCCCGGTATTGACCTTTGGCCTTCGAATACAGGCACACCCATGTGAATATATCCTGTGAACATGTACACATACAAATCAGATGAGGTCTGCTTTGTCTAGATCCAGTGTTTGCTCTCACATCAGATCCTCCTTTTAGATCACTTAAAAAAAAATCAGTTTACTTTATGTGTATGACTGTTTTGTCTGCATGCATGTTGAACCATCTCTCCAGCCTCTAGGTCAGGTTTTTTTTTTTTTAATTTATTTTTATGTATATGAGTGTCTGCCTGCATATTTGTATGTGCACCACATGTGTGCCTGTTTCTTGTGGAGGTCAAAAGAAGTGTCAGATCCCCTCATAATGGAGTTACAGGTGATTGTAAGCCACCATGTAGGTGCTGGAAACTGAACCTGGGTTCTCTCCAAGAGCTACAAGTGCTCTTAACCACCACTGAGCCATCTCTCCCAACTTATTTTGTTTTTCGAGACAAGGTTTCTCTGTTTTCTCTGTGTAACAGTCCTGGCTGTCCTGGAACTCAATTTGTAGACTAGGTTAGCCTTGGACTCAGAGATCTGCCTGCCTTTGCTTCCCAAGTGCTGGGGAGTAAAGGCTGCTCCACCACTGCCTGGCCTTCTCCCAACTTTTTCTTTGAGACTTCTATTTACCCAGGTAAGTCTAGTACTCTGTGTATTCCAGGCTGGCCTTGAACTCAGAGATCTACCTCCCGAATGCTAGGATCAAAGGTGTACACCACCACTGCCCAGCATTCTTCCTTCACTCTTTTATTTTTATTTTTATTTATTTATTTTCTCCGGAGCTGAGGACCGAACCCAGGACCTTGCACTTGCTAGGCAAGTGCTTTACCATTGAGCTAAATCTCCAACCCTGCTTCCTTCACTCTTAAGTGCTGGGGTGACAAATTTCTTCCACCATACTTGGTATCCCTCCGCCATGCTAGGGTTGAGCCCAGATCTTCATTAATGCTAGGCAGACATTTGATCACTGAGCTATATCCCTCAGCCTTCAGGTTACATCATCAATACTGCTTTTGTTATTAAGTGTAAATGATTCCTTTGCATATTCCAAGTGAAGTATTTGAAGTTTTGCTTTTAAAACCTTGTGTTTTCCATTTACTTTCTGCTCAGTGCCTCCCCACTATCCTGTGGTGTGCTGCCCCACTTCAGGTTCTCAGATGTGTAGTAAGCGGCCAGCCCGAGGGAGAGCCACACTTGGGAGCCAGCGAAAACGCCGGAAGTCAGTGACCCCAGACCCCAAGGAAAAGCAGACATGTGGTAAGGAAATTCGAGGATTCTAGAGATGTAGACTTGAGGGAAAATACCAAGGACTCCTGGGATAATGGGCAGTGTGTTTTTCGGTGCAAGGCAATCTTTGATTGCTGCTGTCAGGTCAGGTGTAGTTTTTATGAGATTATCCTTTTGGCAATGGTATATTAATGGTAAAATTCTTTTTAGTCATTATTAAGTCAAAGGAATGCCAATGTGACATCCTTATTACTGGATGAACCAAGTCAAGACAGACAATTAAACTTTTGCACCTTTTTTCCGCGAGACAGGGTTTCTCTGTGTAGTTTTGGTGCACTTTTGCACCTTTTAATAAAATAGCTGTTATAAGCAAGGTGCTGGTTGTGAGTAACCTGAGCATATGCACTGTAGGGAAGCTCCAGCATGAGACAAAGGCTTCAGGACACAGTGAAGAACTAGTTCTGGGGAGGGATGGAGAAGCTGTGACAAGAGGGTTTCTCCTCTGCTGGTTTTGCTTGCTTTTCTAGCTTTGGATGTAAACACAATCCTTACTAGAAACCATTTTCCTTCCATCTCTCCCAGACATCAGGCTTCGAGTCCGGGCGGAATACTGCCAGCATGAGACTGCTCTGCAAGGCAATGTCTTCTCCAATAAGCAGGACCCACTTGAGCGCCAGTTTGAGCGCTTTAACCAGGCCAACACTATCCTCAAGTCCCGGGACCTGGGCTCCATCATCTGTGACATCAAGTTCTCTGAGCTCACCTACCTCGACGCATTCTGGCGCGACTACATCAATGGCTCATTATTAGAAGCACTGAAAGGTGTCTTCATCACAGACTCTCTCAAGCAAGCTGTGGGCCATGAAGCCATCAAGCTGCTGGTGAATGTGGATGAGGAGGACTATGAGCTGGGCCGACAGAAACTCCTGAGGAACTTGATGCTGCAAGCATTGCCCTGACCTTCCCCCATCTCACCTCTCTGGGGATTGTTGGCTCCATCACCTCTGGAGCTTTCATACTGTTCTGGGGTTTGTTCTCTGCCCTTCAACCAATCACACCACCTTTTCTTTTTTCTTTCTTTCTTTTTTTTTTTAAGGAAAAGACAAAGGAAAGTGGAAATGGTGTTCCCTCCCCCTCCCTGCACCCATGTGCCTGGGCTTCCCCTCTGTTTCCTGTTGCCACTTCCCCCCTAATGTGTGTCTCTACAGCCACCTTACCACTGAGCCGTAAGACAAGTGTATAGGGACGGAGTCTATGGAACATAGCCTTTGTAAGGGACTGAACGTTACTTTCAGGTGCACTGAGGGGTAATCAATACTTATGGCTTTATGAGGGCTCTAAAATTTTGTCTGAAAAACCAAAGGGCTGTGAGTAAAGGAGCTGTGTGGAAGGTGGGACTCTGAAGTGTATTTTGGAAATTAATTACCACCTTCTTCCAAATTATAGAATTTTTTAAAAACAAAGAAGCTGTGGCCCTTTCCACTCTCTCCTGGCCTCTGGTGCTGCTCCTCTCTGCCTTTCCTTCATTCCAGTCTGGCGTGGCTCCCTCCTTTCCCCTTGTCAGATCCTCTCCAACAGAGTAGATGAATGGGCCAGCCCCTACCCTCCCGACTGTGGTGTACATGCGAACACCGACACACAGGGTGGACAGAGGAGAGGGTGCTGGTTAAAGTACACGTTCTCTGAAGAGTGGGGGAGTATGACGTGTTCCTCCCGTTTCTAGTGAAAATCACAAATGCACTCTTACCCTGCCCCAAGCCCCTTTGCCCTTGCTTCCTTCTGGCTTGAAAGAAAATGAGGTATTCAGTATCAACTACCTTTCCTCCTCCGGAGAAGGGGGCTAGGACATGTACTGAGCCTTGTTGCACTTTCTTAGGTAGGGAGGCATGTTTGAGCCAGGAGGCCTACCAGTGGAGCCTATTCAAGCAGGTACCATGCCACCTTCCCTCCCAACCCCCAAAGGAGATGCCCAGACAGACATTATGATTATTATTATATTTTTTTTCAATGCCAGTGCTGCTCAGCTCTCGGCATAACTCAGTTTTCATGAAATAAACACTGACTATGTAAAATTTTACTTTTCTGAAACTGAAATCTGAGGTCAGGTCAAAGTTTCTTCTTTCCCATGAACTTGAACCTGTGTTCCATTAAGAGAGTTTAAGGTTCTGCAAGTGAAAGGAACTGTGCTTGGGTCCTGCCTACAAGTCACAGCAGCATCACCTCACAGCTGTGTGCGCGCGCATCTCTGTGTGTCTCAACCCCAACACAAGTTAAAAGGCTTAAGACAGTGGACCCAGACTGCCATACAGGTCAGGCCGACGATGCTGGAACACAGGCAGGTGTTGGCGCATCTGCTGCAGAAAGTTGAGATCGATTCGGGCAAGGCAGAGGCCTGGTCCCTCAGAGCAGCGGGCCACCACCGTACCCCAGGGGTCTACCACCATGCTGTGGCCATGACTTGCTCTTGTCTCGTGGTGGCGTCCACACTGTGCTGCTGCTATTACATAACACTGAGAGTCAATGGCACGGGCCCGCAGCAACACCTGAGAATGAGAAGTGTGTTCACTCAAGTACATACAGCAAGTAATAGGCAAGTGACAAGAAATGGGCACTACAGGCCCATCTACTCATTGACCAATCTGCTAGTCAACTAGAATTAGTGACTACATTAACTCTAACATGACTCACACCTATCTGAGGAATGAATTTCCCCACTAGATGGGAAGAAAATCCTTTCAAGTAGAAAGAACAGAGGAGGAGATCCAGTTTGGTTGCTTGTTTGTATTTCGTGTTTTTTGAAGTAAGGTCTTACTGTGTAACCCTGGCTGGCCTGGAACCCACAGAGATCTGTCTGGCTCTGCCTCACAAGGCTTGTGCCACCATGTCCCACTGTTTTCAGTTTTATTTTTCGAGACAGGGTTACTCTCTGTAGCCTTGGCTGTCCTAGAACTTGCTCTGTAGGCCAGGCTGGCCTTGAACTCAGAGATCTGCCTGCCTCTGCTTCTAGGTGTGTGCCACCACTGCCTGGCATCTATTTTGTTTTTTTTGAGTCAAGGTATCACTGTGAAGAACATGTTAGCCTTGAACCTGTGGCAAACCTCTAGAATGCTTGGGATTTAGCTTTGTTCCACACTGCTAGGAGTAAGATTAAAAGGGGTCCTTATGTTTTGAAGAGGCATTCTCTTACCTCCCAGTGGGCGGGGCCTGTAACAGACCCAAAGGCTGAAGGATAAGTAAGTATTTCTGCCCCAGCTTCAGCCAATTTCAGAGAAAGTTCAGGGAACCGCATGTCATAACAGATTGCTAGACCAACCTGAAACGAAAATCAACCCACTCATCATCTCTGTCCTGTTTATAACATCTAGTACCTTCATTGTCTTACTCCAAAGGGGGATGTTACCACTTTTTCAATATATTCCTATTTCCTTTTCAAACGCCCACCTTGCCTGCTGGTGTGCTGACGGGCGGCTCAAGAGTTTGTCCAGGCATGGTAGAGTTGCTTTCCCGCATAGGCCCCTGACCTGGGATCTCTACATCGCATAGATGTGTCTTCCTGTAACTGGCCACTACTAGTCCTAGAGTAAGAGATAAAGAGAAAATACTCAGTACAGCGACTCCAGAAGTCCAGCTTAGCTCTTCTCCCACAGAGTAATTTATAAGCTAAGAACAGAAGTACAAAACCCACTAAAGCCAAACAGTTGAGAAAATAATGCCGAAGGATCTGAGTTGAAGGGAGAAAAGCCTGGAAAGAGGCAAGCTAAGACGTTACTGAGTCTCACCCTCGTTGTTCAGAAGCACATGACAATTGTAGATTTTCTGAGTCTGCTCCCAGTCTTGGCCGCGCTCATGGAAACCACCCAAGGACAGCCAGATTCCACATTCCCTGGGGGGAGGGGACACTGACAACTCAAGGCTCCACCCCCTCTGTGTGGCAATAACAGGAACACTGCCCCGTAGTGATTCTACTTCCCTCCCACCCGTGTACCTGGCAAGCTGGCTATATCGTCCCAAAAGGTCCCCATCCAGTGGCTCAGACAGTCGTAATGTCTCGGCAGGATTTCGTGCAATGAAGTCAAATGCCTCAGGCAGAAAAGCCAGGCAAGCACCCAGTCTGGCCGCCTCTCGAACCAGCTCAGCACATGTTTTAAAGTTCTCTTGCTTGTTTGGTGTTGATGTTACCTGGCACACAGCCACCAGGGGCAGCTCCCAGGAAGTTGACGAGGACACCGCCATGGCTCTGGGCCTGTGAATGGCACAGGTAGTGTTCTCAGATTTGCTAACATGGAGAAACCCAGAGGCTCAAGAGGGACTGGGCCAGAAACCTAGATTTTTTCTTTTTCTTTTTTGGGACAGGGTGTTTTGTAGTCCAGGCAGGTCTTGTTATGTAGCCGAGGATGACCTTAAACTCCTGATTGATCCTCCTCCTGTTTCCCAAGTGCTGAGATTACAGGTGTGTCCCACCATCCCTAGAGACTTCTTTCCATCCTTACAGAGCTTAACCCCAGAGCTACTGGAGTTCACTTATTAAACGTTTGGAGGGTGGCAGACACCTTTGTCTCCGACTATGCAGTTATAAACACGGATTGAGCAGCAATGTGGCAGGCAGAGAACATTAGGAAACATGTTACCTGGGCTGAGTACAAAGTACTGAGATTCGAGGTAACCGGTGTCCGGTACACAGAAGGGACAGGAGCTGGCGAGGCGGCCTGGTGATGAAGCCCAGCCTGAAGAAGGTGAGAAATCAGGACACCTAGCCCTCTTTCAAGCAGTAAGTTTCTAGAATTATCTGCCATTTCCAAGCCTGGCCAGTAATTTCCTCCCCCAAGACTTCAAAAACACCTTTTTTCTTTTCTTTTCCTTTCTCTCTCTCTTTTTTTTTTTTTTTTTTACTATTAGTAGCTATGGAAAGAGATCATAAAATGGGAAAAAGGGAGAGGAGACCATGATCCGTGCCTCAATACCTCAACTTCCAGTGATCTCACATTAAAACTGAAGCCCTTTTCCTCTGCCAAACGCTTCCGCAGTTCAAGTCATCTCATGGAACCTTCCTCGCTTCCCCAATTCTCTCTTCTGGGCTGTGCCACCTGCACAGTTTTATAGACTCAACACGTATCTTTCCCCTTACACCAGTATCTCAGAAGGAAAGGTCACTCTCCCTTGATCCCCACCATCTCGTGGTGGGAAGGGGGCACAGGACCAGATCCCAACCCTAGAGCCCGCCCTCTGATTAGCGCGTCCTTCCCCGCCTCTCCCTGGGGCAAGAATCTCTGTTGCCCAAGTTAAAGCATCGCAGGTAGAATTCACCGCAGCGGGCAGGGTTGGGGAGTAGGTCCTACATGAAGACACAGCCAAAACCATTCGCAGGGTCGATCTGAGGAGCTTCCTGGAGCCAGAAGGGCAGGGGCAAGTGGGTGGTAACTACCAGACCGGATGTGACGCAGTGGGAGTGCGCAGGCCGGAAAGCTGGCAGGTGGCGAAGATGGCGGACGGCGGCGGTCGTGTGAGCAAGAGCAGCGGGAGCAGCACGGGGAAGGGGGCGGTGTCGGCCGAACAGGTGAGGATCCGCGAGCGCCGAGGGCAACGGGGTCCACGTCGAGTTCGTGCAAGAAATAGGGTTCGTGACTTTAGCCCCTTCCACGTTCTCCGTGGTCACACACAGGGGCCGGGGAGGAGGGGGTCTTTGGAGGTGATCACGAACCCTCCTAGGGCAGGAGAGGCGGGTATATAGATGAGAGCCACGCCCGCGGGGTGGGAGGGCGAGTCGAGTGGGAAAGCTCTGAGGTGCGGGATCTGGGAGGGTGTCCTGGTCTTTAAGGTGATGGGTCATCGTTTTCCCCGTCTCCGAGATACCATAAAGAGGGTATGGGTTGGCGTGGCATCTAGTAACCAGTCCCAGAGCGTATTAGTCAATTAATTGTTTAGTCTGTGACTCTAAAACCGCGTTCACCGTCGCCGACACTCTGCAGAGCCACGTGACTCAGACTCGACCAGTTTAGTCTTCTTTAACTATTTTAACGAAGGGGTCTTCAGTAGATTGGCTTTGTGGTTTGGTTTGTTTGTTTGTTTGGTTGGTTTTTGGTTTTGGGGTGGAGGATGGAGGTTGCGACAGGGTCGATCTATGTAGGCTTGGCTTTTCTGAAATTCACTGTGTAGACCAAACTGGCCTGGAACTCAGAGATCTGCTTTTCTCTGCCCCCGCCTCTCAAATTCTGGGATTAAAGTCCTGTGTCACTATGCCGGGCCAGGGTTGTTCGGTCTTTGAGACATGGTCTCACTAAGTAGCCCAGGCTGGCCCCGAACCCGCTCACTGTGTTCTCGGAGTGTAGATTGACTTTTCAGAAGAGACCAGAAGAAACCTTTTTCTAATCCAAGTTTGCTTTTCCTACTCTTCATAACATCGGGATACGTCTGACCAGAAAGGCCTTTGTGGTATGGAAACTGCCTTGTTAATCGTGGGACTAGTGTTTAATCGATATTAGAAGAAAAAATCACACAATTGAAATAAAAAGAATTGAAATTAGGGGTTTAGCTTAGTGGGTCAAGTGGGAAAGCACTAAAGTGTAGGATATGGGAGGGTGTTCAGGTCTCTGGGTTGGAGGCCCAGGGGTTGGGGTATGTGTGTATTGAACAGTTATTTTAATCATAGATACATTTGTCAGTTAATTGTTCAACAGTCAGTACAGGCAGGTAAAGGTATTAGCATAAAGAGTTTAAAACCTGCCCTATCAAAGAACATAATCTGTTGGGACAAGAAAAGGGGGGATTTTCATAATTCTACTGTGAGGCAGAAAATAAGTGCACTTCTCTTAGAAGTGCAGCGAAATTTTGAGGATGGAAGAGGTAACACCCCTGACATAGTGGAAAAAACAACAAAAACCTAATGCTTTCTGAGGGTCTGTCTTGTGTTAGGCTCTGCTGAACTTCTGATGTCAACCTTAGGCCTCCACATACACTCATACACATGGGCACCCATACACAGGTGTGCGTACACACATGTACACACACAAAATGGAAAAATAAGAAAAGAGTTCTTTCCCAAGGCCAGCAAGATGATTCGGGAGGTAAAGGCATTGTGATCTGTTTCATTCCCACGATCCACGTAAAGGTAGAAGGAAAAACCAACTCCTGACCTCCACATGTGTGCCATGATACACACACTTACATATATACATTATGTATACGCATATAATAATAAACTAAAAAAAAATTAAAAAGTCTTGCCACGAAGTAGGTTGTGATGTATGAGTCTGTAGTCCCTGTATTTGGGGGGAGAGGTAGAGGCAAGAGGATTAAGAGTTCAAGTTTGCTGTGGGATAATGCTCTTGTACACTGTAAAGATTTGTCACTTGAATTGATTTAATAAAATGCTGATTGGCCAGTAGCCAGGCAGGAAGTATAGGTGGGGGCAACCAGGCTAGGAGAATTCTGGGAATAGGAAGGGTGGAGTCAGAAGTTGTCAGCCTGACACAGGAAGCAAGATGAGATTGTCACATTGAGAAAAGTTACCAGGCCACGTGAATAAACATAAATAAAATAAATAAAATAAGAATTATGGGTTAATTTAAGTGTAAGAGCTAGCTAGTAATAAGCCTGGGCTACTGGCCGAGCATTTATAAGTAATATTAAGCCTCTGAGTCAATTATTTGGGAAGCGGCTGCTGGGTATTTGGAGTTGCTGGTGGCACAGAAACTTCCATTTACACAAGTGTGTTACATGAGATTCTGTCTCAAAAAGATAAGAAAAATCCCTGTCACTTGATAGTCAAGGTTCCCTGTGTATTTTGGAGAGGATAAATCCTACTCAAACATAGCTTTATACCCCTTAGTCCCAAAACTCATGCCCTAACAATGCAAAATGTGATCATTCTGCCCCAAATTCCTCAGAGTCTTAATTTGTTTCAATACTAACTCAAGATTCCAGAGTCATTTGTGCAGTGAAAAGCAGTTATCTCCTTCCAGCATGTAATGCAGAGGTGGGCAAAGGGTAGACATTCCCATTCTAAGAGAAGTAAGCCAGGAGCGGGTAAACAGCTTTAAGTCTGATTCCAAGAGGGCAGGCATTGTCTTACAGTTCTGTAATAGTTTTTCTCCCCATGTGCCATTTGGAAACTCTGGGGCAGGGATTGGGCCTCTGAGATGTTGAGCAGCTCCACATCTATGGGTTTGCTGGGCTCAGACCATGCTTCATGCTCTTGGCCTAGAGGTGCATACTGATGCCTGCAGCTTTCCCAGGCAGACAGTGTACATTGACGGTTGCTGTACTATTGGGGAGCTGGTAGCTGCCTGGCCTTCACTGGGGATTGTTCCAGTGAGGATTCTCTGTGACAGTTTCCATTTCTACATCAGGTTTCTGTCTGGACACCCCCACCCCATCCTGACAGTCCAGTACATCTTTTGAGATTTTGGTAGAGGAAGCCATTTCTCCACAGCTCTTGCATTCTGCCTGCCTGCAGAATTAGCAGCATGAGAGGCATGGACACCTACCACAGGTTACTGCTAATGATGCTCTCTCCAGCTTCAGTACAGGCTGTACTCAAATAATTGGAGCATGAGGGATGTGAGGAGCAGAGGCTAGGTAGACTAGGCGATGAATTTTCTGCTCTCAAGACCCTAACTTTTGGTTCTATGATTGGAGGGACAGCCCCCAAATCTCCAAAATGCCTGCTGACCTTTTTGCCATTGTATAATAAATAGCACTTGGCTTCCTCTGTCAGTTCTTTTCTTTTTTCTTTCCCCAAGACAGGATTTCTCTGTGTAGCCCTGGCTGCCCTGGAACTCTGTAGACCAGACTGGCCTTGAACTCAGAGATCTGCCTGCCTCTGCCTCCTGAGTGCTGGGATCAAAGGCTTGTGCCACCACTGCCTGGCAATTCTAATTTCTTTAGAAAATGGTTGATGACCCTCTTTAAAGAAAGAAAGAGGATGCCGGGCGGTGGTGGCGCACGCCTTTAATCCCAGCACTCGGGAGGCAGAGCCAGGCGGATCTCTGTGAGTTCGAGGCCAGCCTGGTCTCCAAAGCGAGTTCCAGGAAAGGCGCAAAGCTACACAGAGAAACCCTGTCTCGAAAAACCAAAAAAAAAAAAAAAAAAAAAAAAAAAAAAAAAAAAAAGAAAGAAAGAGGGTTGGGGATTTAGCTCAGTGGTAGAGCAAGTGCAAGGCCCTGGGTTCAGTCCTCAACTCCAAAAAGGAAAAAAAAAAAAAAGAAAGAAAAACTTGTTACATTTATTTATTTTGTGTTTGTGGAGATACCACAGTGTTCAGAGGACAATTTTGGAGAACTGGTTCTCTCTTTCCACCTTGACAATCTGGGATCAAACTCAGGTAGCCAGGGTTGGCTGCAAATACCTTTACCAGCTGAACCATCTTGCTGGCCTGGCCACCTTCTTGAACTTATTTCTACTTTGTACATCCAGGCTGTGAATTTTCTAAGCTTTTAGGCTTTTTTTAAAAGGCAGGCAGAACTCTGAATTCAAGGCCAGCCTTTCTGGAAAACCCTGTCTGGAAAAAAAAATACTATTTTTATGTGTATGAATGTTTTGCCTGCATGCATGTCTGGTGCCCACAGAGGTCAGAAGTGGGTGTGGGATGCCTGAGACTGAAGTCACAGATGGTATGAACTGTCATGTGGGTTCTGGGAATGGAATCTGGGTTCTCTTGGGTGCCGCTTGTGCTCTTAACTGCTGAGCCGTCTTTCTTATTTTCTTTTAATTATGAATTCTGTCTTTAAGCTGGGTGGTATGTTTTTAGAAACAACAGATTTGGGTCTTGTTTTTTGACCCAGTCATCTGTTCTCGTTCTTTCTCTTTCTCTTTCTCTTTCTCTCTCTCTCTCTCTCTCTCTCTCTCTCTCTCTCTCTCTCTCTCTTTCTCTCCCTCCCTCCCTCTCCCTCTCTCTCTTTTCTTGAGACAGGGTCTCACTGTGTATCTCTCTCTGCCTGTCCTGGAACTCAACTGCGTACACTAGTTCTGCCTCGAGCTCACAAAGATCTATCTGCCTCTGCCTCCCAAGTGCTGTGGTTAAAGGCATTGGCCACCATGTCAAACTTTGGTCTTATCTTTTTGTTTTGTTTTGTTCTGAAACAGGGTCTCTCCATGTAGCCCTGGCTGTCCTTGAACTCACTCTGTAGACCAGGCTGGCCTCGAACTCAGAGATTCACCTGCCTCTGCCTCCAGAGTGCTGGGACTAAAGCTATGCACCACCACTGCCCTACTTGGAGTGTTAAGACTTTTTACATTAAGGTTTTCTAATTGCTGTAATTTTGTTAAATGTGTTTCTGGTTGGTTGGACTATTGGTAGTTTTTTCCACTCTTCATATTTGGGGTTTGTAGACTTACTGTGTTGGATTCTATGAAGTGTGTGTGTCTGTCTGTCTGTCTGTCTGTCTGTCTCATTTTTATGAAGCCCAGTCTGGCCTTGAATTCACTGTGTAACTAGGGCTAACCCTGAGTTCCAGATCCTTCTGGCTCAACCTCTAAGTGCTGGGATTACAGGCATGTACCACCAATCTGGGTTTAAGGGATGATAGTGTCTTTCTTAGTTCTCCTTTGTTCTTCTTT